TCCATCTCTCTCCCTTCCTCTCTGTAAAATATCAATAAAATATATATTAAAAAGAGAAAAGAAAAAAGAAAAAGAAAGTCCTGTCTCTGGGGAAGGACTTGGGCCGTTGGAAATGCTTCTGGAACACCAGGCCTCGGCAGATAGCACGTCTGATGAGATAACGTCAGAATGGCGACCGCTAACTTCGCTTCCCCAGGCCCCGGCCTCCTGCCTCGTTTGGTGTCTGCATTTTTATTTTTTTGTGTCTGCATTTTTTATTTTTTTGTGTGTGTGTCTGCATTTTTTATGTGTCAACCTGGCAGGGAAGCCGCTTCAAGAAAGAAGCCTGGAACACGAGGGACATGGAGGTCAGGTCTCCGCGGAGGAGGGTTTTTAAATAACAAGGCTCGGCTGGGTGCCTCCGAGAGGCCGCCTCGTTCTTCAGTCCCCAGCTGCCCCCTCCCCTCCGTTCCCCATCCTCCCCTCCCGGGAGGCCTGCGCGGCCAGGGGACTGTTCCGTTTTCAACAATTGTCACACTGGAAGGAATGTTGGTTTCTCGGTGGTCTCTTGAATGGCCGTGTTTGCGGTATTTTAAGAAAACCACCGACTGTTGTCCAAATGTCTGATCACTGTGTGTTTTGTTTTGTGTGCGTTTTTTTAAAAATTTATTTTATTTTTTTAAATTACTTTTCCCCTTCCACGATAAAGCAGTACAGGTTTCGCATTGATTTTTAGAAAGTATGGAAAGTATAAAGATCTGAATGCAAACGGTCTAGAGCAGTGTTTCCCAAAGTGTGGTACGCGCACCCCCAGGGGTAAGGGAAGAGTTTGGTGGGGGTACACGTTGCACCGGAGTTTGGTGGGGGTATGCACTGCACCGTGCTTAGCTGCGCCTAATTCTACGTTCTCATGAGGACGAGGGGTACTCAGCGTTACAAAAATTATAGAAGGGGGTACACATACGTCAAAAATTTGGGAAACACTAGGTCTAGAATGTTGATGTGTTGACGGGTAGCTTTCTACATGTTTGTGATGCATATATGCAGCCGTCTATGTGCTTGTGTGTGTGTCTGTGTGCTTTCAATGAAACTGAGATCATACTAGGTAAAGGTGACATTTTACAATATTTTGTCACTGGCCCCTTTCCGTCTAAATACAGATCTGCAGAGTATTTATAAGTAACTGCACAGTGTTTCCACCATGCTTTGGACATGGTAGCCATAGACTTGGAGATTTCCCCCCATTGTTTTTGTGATAAAAAACACGGCTATGAACATCTTTGGATATCTGTCGTCGTGCACACATTGGATATTTTACATCTGCACATCTTCACGATATAAAAGAGTAAGATGCAAATGGACCGTACCTCCGTGACGGCCCACCAGCCAATCAGGAGTGAGTATGCAAATCAACCCAACACAGATGGGTCTATTTGCATACAAAGGCCTCAAGGGGGGCAGGGAGTCCAGAGCAAAGGCGGTGCTGGCAGCCAGGGAAAGAAGTCCCATTCTTGCACGCATCGGGCCTCTCGTGTGCTTATATTTTAGGACCCATTCCTAGGAGGGAAAATCAAGGAGTATTTATTTTTTTCCTTTCTCGTACGTATCAGCGGATTCTGCCAGGACAGCCTCCATTGTCTCCTCTAGTCCAGGCCACTGTTACACCCACCTGACCAGTCGGTGTCTCCCCTTCTCCGTTCTTGTCCTCCATTGGCCATGCGTCAGCCGGAATGACCTTCACACGGAAATCAGACCTTCACAGCCTTCGTGGCATCAGGATGCTCTTCATCACCGAACCGAAGCGATGAAGGTCCTGCCTGATGGGGCCGAGTTCCTTGTTCCCGGCACAGGCCTCGGCGAGCCCGTAACACGTAGTTGAGTGGAGAGTAAGGGAAATGAGCGGACTGAAGCGAGTTTTATCCGTTTTTGATACACGTTACCCAGTCAGCAGCGAGCGGGGGGAGAGAGCCAGTCCCCTCCACGTTCTGGCCCACGCGGGGCCTGGTCCTTGGGCTCTTCGTCGTTGCCGATCTGATCGCCCCACGATCAGAAACGTTATCTCGCCGTTTCAATAGGCGTTTCTTTGATTGCAGGTCGAGTGGAACATGTCCTCGTATGCTTATTGGCCGTGGCTGGTGTTGTGTCCACCATCCCCTGTGCCTGTGTGTGTTGCCTGTTTTCTCACTGGCCTGTTAGTTTTTCTTTTTTTTTTAAAAAATATATTTTATTGATTTATTACAGAGAGGAAGGGAGAGGGATAGAAAGGGAGAAACATCGATGAGAGGGAGACATCGATCAGCTGCCTCCTGCACATCCCCCACTGGGGATGTGCCCTCAGCCCCGGCATGTGCCCTTGACCGGAATCGAACCCGGGACTCTTCAGTCTGTAGGCCGACGCTCTATCCACTGAGCCACACTGGCTGGGTAGGGCTCTGGGCCCATGCTTTTAACCAGTAGGTTCCAAGGCCTCTCTAATGGTTAACTGCTGTGAACGGAGGTGTATATTTGAGTTTTCTAAACGTTGATGTGTGAGCATCAACCATTTATTTTTCTTTATGATTTTCTCCTAGAAAGTCCCTTTGTTTTCTTAGCATCCAGAACAAAGCCTGTGTAGAAGGAATTGACCCAGGATAGGAGCAAACATCCCAGAGATAGCAGGGGCAAGGAGAAAAGGCTTTGTTTTGGAGCGGGAACATGGTTTAATCTTGAAGAAAAACGAAACAAAAGGATGAAAACGTTCGTGCTACGGTTGCAACTGTGTGTTCATTTTTGGAATGGCAGAAGAATGAGTCAAGTGTTGGTTGCTTTTTTTTTTTTTTTCCATAGCTTTTCTTCAAAAAATTGCAAAATGGCCAAAACCGTTTTGGCTCAGTGGATAGAGCATAGGCCTGTTGACTGAAGGATCCCAGGTTCGATTCCGGTCAAGGGCATGTACCTTGGTTGCAGGCACATCCCCAGTAGGGGGTGTGCAGGAGGCAGCGGGTCGATGTTTCTCTGTCATCGATGTTTCTAGCTCTCTATCCCTCTCCCTTCCTCTCTGTAAAAAAATCAATAAAATATATTTAAAAAAAAAGAAAAAAGAAAAATCAATTAAAAAAAATGGTGCTGAGAAAGCTGGATATTCCTAGTTCTTTTGAAAGAGGGTTTACAGCGGTGTGTTTTTTCCTGTGATATGAATGGCTACCTCCACATGGGGGTTCCTCACCCTGTCACTGTGGATCTTGGGGGAGGGGGGAGGCAGGTAATTCCATGTTGGGGGCTGTCTGTGCCTTGTGGGATGTTTTAGGATCTTGGACCTCTAACCACTGGATGCTAGCAGCTCACCCTTCGCCCTTTCCCCTAATAGTGACTACCACGTGTGAGGCCAGTGCCCTTAAAACATTTAAATGTTTAAATGAAAAAACATACGGTGGCACTTGTGCTATTTCCTGCTTTTATTACAAAAGACTTTTAACACCTGTTTGTTCATTTAGCCGTTAACCTGCAACCCAGCCTCCGTTTATAAACGGTGTTTCAGGAGAGAGAATCTAACCTCAAAAATCAGTCGATAAGAGCTCAGTTTTAAGTTACCTGAAGATTAAAAAAAACAAAAAATAAAACTCTATTTGTGAATTTTACTATAAGTGAAGTGAAAAAACTTTCGGAATTTCCTGGTTTGTTTCATGCAAGGATTTAAAATACACTTAATGCCGTTTTTAAAGATATTCTCAGGATTACCGTCTGTGTCCCAGAGAGCTGACCCATTTTTCTCCAGGATCGGAAGATCCCTCATATGCCTGGCACGGGGCACGAGTCGCTGGCAGTATCTCTGAGACTAGCCTTTGGGTCACTAGCGTTTGCCCACACAGGGTACACTCCTAGTGCGCTAGCCCCCAGTGGTCGGCAAACTGTGGCTCGCGAGCCACACGCGGCTCTTGGGCCCCTTGAGTGTGGCTCTTCCACAAAACACTACGGGGCTGGACAAGTCTGTGTTGAAGAAGTGGTGTCAGAAGTTTACGTCTAAAATATGTGGCTCTCCAAAGACATGTCTATCGCTATTGCTGTGCTGTTGACACGTGGCTCTGTGGACTCATGAGTTTGTCGACTACTGCCCTTCCCTGCTGGCCTGATTGCCCCTAACTGCCCTCCCCTGCTGGCCATGTTGTGTCCACATAGGGGCGGCCATCTTGTGTGTTGGAGTGACGGTCAATTTGCATATTACATCTTTATTATATGTCCAATTACATAGGACAACTTTTAATATTCTCTCTCTGTGTAAATCAAGTAAGTAGATAATCGGATAAATAGCAGCGATTGCTTGTTGCTCGATTAGAGACGGGCCAGGCAGATTGCCAACGGCTTCCCGAGGGTCATTTTCATTGACTGGATTAGAACAGGCCTTGGGGTTGACACCACCATTGCAGTGAGGGAAGGCGATGCTTGGCTGATCCCACGGTTGGCCAATGACAGCGGAGATTCAGATAAGTCCCGTGTCAGCCTGGAGACCTTGCCCTGACCACTTCTCATGTTTTTTTTCTTTTTTTATAATTAAAAAAAAAATTATTGATTTTTTTACAGAGAGGGAGAGAGATAGAAAGCTAGAAACATCGATGAGAGAGAAACATCTATCAGCTGCCTCTTGCACACCCCCTACCGGGGATGTGCCCCCAACCAATGTACATGCCTTTGACCAGAATCGAACCCGGGACCTCTCAGTCTCCAAACCGACGCTCTATCCACTGAGCCAAACCGGTTTCGGCGCCTCTCATGGATTTACCTTCCAACGACCGTGTCTCAGATTTCATTTTCCGTCCTTAAGATGCTGTCCAATCCCAGAGTTGGCATAGAAAGTCCCCGTGGGGAATGCTGCAGGTGTGGGCTGGATGGATGGTGTGAGAGACTTGGCGTGACAGGTGAATGCATGGGACCTAACGTGCTGCATCCTTCTACACACTATTCTTCTAACCCTTACAGCTGCTCGGCAGGGTAGGTAGCCTCCTCCTTAATGCCCTTGCTGCTGGCGAATACGAGGCTAGTGAGTGATGGAACCTGGACCTGAGCCCAGCCTGGTCTCACTTGCATACCTGTAAGTGCTCTCTCTCGCCCTCTGTCTTTACGTGATGTGTGAACGTTTTCGGGGGGGACTCGCCTCCGATGTGTGGGTTTGGGGGGTGGGGGAGGGGGGTTCGCGGTGGGACCGGGTTAGCGTGTACTCGAACCCCGATGTTCACCAAGTGTTGTCTTTAATCCAAAGGTGCCAGCCTTCATAGGTATTACATTTCACGTAGTAGAGGCCCCGTGCAGGAAATTCGTGCACAGAGGTGGGGTGGGGATGTCCCCCTCAGCCCAGCCTGCACTCTCTTCAGTCTGGGACCCCTTGAGGGATTGGGCCTACACGGGCAGTCCAACATCCCTCGCACAATCCAGGGCTGCTGGCTCCCAACCGCTTCTGCCTGCCAGCCTGATCACCCCCTAACCACTCCCATGCCAGCCTGATTTGAAGGCCTAACTACTCCCCTGTCAGCCCGAGTGCCCCTAACTGCCCTCCCCTGCTGGCTATGTTGTGGTGGCCATCTTGTGTGTTGGAGTGATGGTCAATTTGCATATTACCTCTTTATTCTATAGAGTTATATAGGATATGGAGCTGGTGTTGTGGTCATGTACAGATTAATTTAAAAGCTTAGTAAATTCGAAGTGCATCGAAATCAGGTTTTCTCAGACAAACGTGTTAAAAGTAGAAATGAATGAACTTTTAAAGGGGCCTTCTCGTCTTCCGAAAGGCTGAGAACCACCATTGTAAATTGATTTTCTCTGTAGGCAAGCCACCGGTATTACTTTGGCGGGGCTTGGCCACGGTTTGACTTTCTCAAAAGGAAGGAGGAACTCCTCAAACAGTAAAAGTATCTAAAGGCTTTGCAAGAATCGCTGCAAATGTGTTTTTTTTTCTTCTTGTTGTTCTCTAGATGAAGTAGATTTATATAAGAAAAGTTTTGTGAAATGTTCCTAGTTACCTATATAGGCCTATATAATCTGTAAAAATCGTTCAAATACATTTTAAGGGGGAGAACACTTTCATGGCTGGGAAATTATAGTTCTTGGTTTTTAGAAAGAATCCGATGACTTCCTTTGGAAACCAGGAAAGGAAAGATGTGTTATGCTATGACGTAGGGTTGTTTTGTTAAAAAAAAAACAAAAACAAAAAAAACCCACACAACTCCTGCCGATGATGCTTTGGGAAGAAATGTGTCCAAAAATGGCATAGCATATTTATTTTTTAAATTTTTTGCTAGCACATAAAGAAGCACTGAGAGGGAAAGCATAATGGATAATTCAAGTTGTGTATGTAGGCTGGAATTTGAGCTTGAGATTTTTATAGTTTTAGAATGTATGTCCTTTGGCTTCTGATGCCTGTTTGTGCAAATGTGTTTGAAATTTGTGCTTAAGATTTTTTAAAAAATATATTTTATTGATTTTTTTTTACAGAGAGGAAAGGAGAGGGATAGAGAGTTAGAAACATCGATGAGAGAGAATCATCGATCCGCTGCCTCTTGCACACCTCCTACTGGGGATGTGCCCGCAACCCAGGTACATGCCCTTGACTGGAATCGAACCTGGGACCTTTCAGTCTGCAGGTCGACCCTCTATCCACTGAGCCGAACTGGTTTCGGCTGTGCTTGAGATTTTATAGTTTTAGAATGTATATCCTTTAGGCTTCTGAGTAGTCTATGCACGTGTGATTCTGCATCCCTTTTCCAGCCCCGATGGGGTTAACGGTGGCCTGGCAGAGCCAGAAAGGGAGTCCTGTGCTGTTTCAGGCTGCAGAACCTTGTTGCTACGCAACCGGCATTGCCAGTCAGCGTAGGGTCTGGCAAATTGGTATTCTCCGGCCCTTTCCACCGCACGCTCATTCTGTAATCCGAGAGAAGTGGTTTCGAGCTATTTTGCAAGTTTTTTATTTTTTTATTTTAAAAATGGGCATTTAATGATTTTCGCTGCTCTTTTTCTGGGTCACGGGTTACGCTTCGAAGGGGCTGGAAGCCGCTTTGCTGTTTGCAGAAGGCACAGCACGGTGCTGTGTTCGGAGGGAAAAAGGGTTTTATAGATCTGTGTCCAAGCTGCTTCAGGTTTAGGGCACTCGTTTTATTCTGTTACTGTAGGAAGGGCACGATTGCCAGCTTCCGAACAAGGGGAGTTTTGTTTGGAAATTCAGGTTAATCTGGACATCAGAGCTAGATGACCATAGCAACCACGAATTATTTTGAAATTTATTTGGAAAAGTGCAGATCCAGGATCCCTTAATTGGTGACGATGAATTTTTATAGGAATCCTAAACTTATAGAGTTTTCTGTGGAAGCCTATAGTTTACTTTCTTTTAAAAAAATATATATCTATTTTATTGATTTTTTACAGAGAGGAAAGGAGAGGGATAGAGAGTTAGAAACATCGATGAGAGAGAAACATCGACCAGCTGCCTCCTGCACACCCCCCACTGGGGATGTGCCTGCAACCAAGGTACATGCCCTTGACCGGAATCGAACCTGGGACCCTTCAGTCTGCAGGCCGATGCTCTATCCACTGAGCCACACCGGTCTCAGCATAAACTTCAGCTTCTTCTAACGCCACTTCTTCAACATTGACTCGCCCAGGCCGTGGTTTTTTGTGGAAGAGCCACACTCCAGGGCCCAAAGAGCTGCATGTGGCTCGCGAGCCGCAGTTTGCCGACCACTGGTTTAGGCTCTCTTCGAAATGCTTTAAATAAATTGATTAAATTTCATCTTTATAACAATCCCGTAAGGTGAGTACTTGTGTTATGTCACCAATGAGAAGACGGAGAGGAACACGCAGTAGTCACTTGAGTGGGCCCAGAATTTTTGGGAATTACTCTTTCTGTCTAGTGGGTAAGAAGAATTTCAACATTATTTTTTTTTTTTTGTAGCTTTACCCAAGTAAAGTGAACACACGTGAACTGTGGTTTTGAATTTCGAATGGATTTCGTTTGGCCTATCATAGTTTAGACACTTTTCTCTCTCTAAATATCGGAAAAGGATACCCTTTGTATTTTATGGTATGGCTAATGTATGTATAAGAAAGGATAAACTTTACGGCTCATCAGATAGAAAGGATTTAACTCCCCTTTTCAAGTTTGTTTCTGGGCCAATTTTCCTGTTGGTTTTTCCATTAGTGTGTGTGGAGAAGGCAAATGATTTTGCGGTAGTTTCATACAAATACACTGAGTGGCCAGACTATGATGATCTCTGAACACATAATAATCTGGCCACTCAGAGTGTGTGTGTGTGTGTGTGTGTGTGTGTGTGTGTGTGTGTGTGTATTAGAGGCCTGGGTGCATGAATTTGTGCATGGGTGAGGTCCGGCCAGCCTGGCCAGGGAGAGGGGACATGGGTGGTTGGCCGGCCTGCCTGCTGGCTGAACTCCTGGTTGAAGGGACCATTTGCATATTAGCCTTTTATTCTATAGGATACACACTGAGTGGCCAGATGATGATGCGTTCAGAGATCATCATCATCTGGCCACTCCGTGTGAATAGGAAGGCACATTGCTATTAAGAACTGCAATGGGGCACCATCAGAAGTCTATTATTTTCTAAGTTCATGCTCTTTTGTTCTGGCTGGTGTAGCTCAGCTGGTTGGAGTGCCATTCCCTACACCAAAAGGTGGCAGGATTGAAAGGGGGGGGGGGAGACAGTATACGATGGCCTTTGAACTTGCAGTCGATGGCTTTTTGCTAACACTGCTTCACACAGTATCTTTATCCCCACTTTTAACTAAAGATCTTCCCTCAGGCCCCAATATTCCGGTAGAGCTAATACCTTGAGACCATTGGACTTTGATCTTTCCTGAATTGATACCCTCCCATCTGGCTCAACCAGACTAACGCCATGGCAATCCGTTTGCTTTTCATTCCTCTTCACAGTTTTTTTTTTTTTTTTAAATATGTTTCCTCCTTATGTTTTCGTGTATCTCTATATGCATTTGATTATACTCTGTGCATTTTTTTTGCTGCGTTCACGTGGTATAGTTTGCATTTTCTGTGCTTTAAGAAAAAAACGGATCAGAATTTTATTAGTTGCATATTTCACTGTAATTTACCCATTTTCTTTTAAGTGGCTATTTACATGGTTTAAAGTGATTCTGTGTAATGAGTAATGCTTTCATGAACCCAAAGGTTTTTTTTGTTTTGTTTTTTTCTTTTCCTCCTAATTGCAGACTAATTTCCTTTAGATTTCCAGAAATAGTATTAGGTCTCTGAAGAAACAAAAACCAGTTTTAAAAGCTCCTGAATTGCCCTAGCCGGTGTGGCTCGGTGGGTAGAGCATCGGCCTGCAGACTGAAAGGTCCCAGGTTTGATTCCCGGTCAGGGCACCTGCCTTGGTTATGGGTTTGATCCCCAGTGGGGGGGCCGTGCAGGAGGCAGCCGATCAAGGATTCTCTCTCATCATGGATGTTTCAGTCTATCTCTCTCTCTTTCCCTCTTCCTTCCTCTCTGAAATCAATAAAGTCATATTTAAAAAAATAAATAAAAGCTCTTGAGTCCTATTGCCAGAAGCTTCCCAAAAGTGTGTGGTCCCAGCTGGCAAATACACTGAGTCTCTCTTTTACCGCAGCCAGTAGCTGCAGAGCGTGCTTGGATGTTGACCTTCTGGTCCAAGAAGATGTTGACCTTCTGGTCCTGCTGGACTTGTAGCCCGAATTCCATCTCGAAGGATGACTGGCTGGAATCAGGGTTGAGAGAAGGAAGGCCTGGCTACCCGCTTTTCTGCTGCTTACACTGCTTTATTATTATTTTAAAATATATTTTATTGATTTTTTTACAGAGAGGAAAGGAGAGGGATAGAGAGCTAGAAACATCGATGAGAGAGAAACATCCATCAGTTGCCTCCTGCACACCCCCCACTGGAGATGTGCCCGCAACCAAGGTACATGCCCTTGACCGGAATCGAACCCGGGACCCTTGAGTCCGCAGGCCGATGCTCTGTCCACTGAGCCACACTGGTTCTGGCTTAAACCGCTTTTTAAATTAGTTCTGTGTTGATGCAGTCGCTGCTCAGGTGGGGTTTCATCTGACATA